GTAGGGATAGAAGAAAGTCCAGAATACCAGGAATCAGAGTCTCTAGGGGTACGTCTACTCTGCAATGTAAGCCAGGGTTAGTAAATCTCAAACTAGCAAACCCACAGTTTGTTAATTTAGGGCTTGAGAAGTCTACTCTCATTTGTAACCCGAGATTAAGAATTGTTGAAGCCTGGATCCCAAACTGGGACTCCAGCTTCTACACTGTATGATGAGAGCCCAAGTCCCACCACCCATATCCCAGACTTCCTAGCGCCTCCCAAAATGTGGCCATTCTAGCCCTTTGTTTGTGGTGCAGCGTGGGAAAACGTGACTGTCTGCCAAACTTGACTGTCCAAAAGACACAGAAAGTTGGTCCGTGGGATTGTGGGGTAGTTTTGGTGGACTCCCAGAGCATGAGTCCAGAGGGGCTGGGTCTACACTGCAGAGCAATAGGGCTTGAACCCTGGGTCACAGCTTGACTCGGGCTCAGACCCTCCACTTCTGTGGAGTTCTGGGACCCCAGATCTGAACCCTGGATTAGTGCCATTTGTGTGCAGATGGAAGGGAGGTCAAACTCTGGGCTTGTAATACAGTATAGACATACCCTATGAGAAATACGTGGCACTGAGCTGTCTAAATAGAAAACCTCTTCCACTTGGCTGCATAGGTCAGCCTACTGGAGTCTTTCCAGTTCTGCAACAATAAATACTGGACCTCAGCAGAGCAGCTTCTTCACATTATAGTTAACCAGCCAGCATCCACTCTGTCAGACACAACAAAGCTGGGTCTGGATGTAGGCGCTAACCTTCATTTGAGAGCTCCCAGGGGGTGAGACAGGTAATGTCAGGGGCTGAGTTGACAGTTATATTAGGTCAGACTATGAGAATGATCTGGTTGCCAACAACTGGGAGGTGGGGGGGAGGAAAAGAGAGAGAGAGAGAAGGTAAAGATTCTCTATACAGCTCTCAATGATGATATCAATTTTGCAGGAATGAGATGGGCATCTGTATAGCTGCAGGCAAACAGGCAGAGGGCCTCCGTTGTTGAAACCTCTGTTTCTTCCTCGTGGTTCCAGGGATCTTTTTGGGTTGAAATAACAGGTAGATAGCAACTGTCTCAAGGAACTCTGTGACCCAGCCAGTTTTCTCCTAAGAGCTGGCATACAGACTCCCAAGGATCACCGAGTAGCCATCAAATCCTTCAGAGAGTACAGAGTTTCATCGTTTTTTGCATTAAACAGGTCACAACCTTCAAAAGGGAGATCCTCAATTGTTGTCTGGACCTCCTTCTGTATCTCTGAAGGCTGCAGATGTTGCCATGGATCACGCTGCAGGGTCCAGCACATCTAATGCTGCCAGCAATGACGTACAGGCCACTAATTACCGGTCAGTTATAAGGAAGCCTAATGGGCACAACTAATCCAAATGTCTCAAATTAGTTGTGTGTGCTAGGCTGCAGCCAATAGTCCTACTGAAGTCCCACAAAAGGCTGTTCTAGACCATACTAAAGGTTCAATCTGCTATCCCAAACTATGTGCCAAAAGACGGTAGGGAATCGGTCAGCTCCAAAGGAACACTCTCAACTTAATTTACACCTGAGCTGGTACATATCAGACTCATCATCATCCATTAATAACATGAATAATTATAGCCATTTATTGTGCAGTCTGTTTTATATCTGTGTATTGTGTTCCGGCCACATGCATCCCTGCAACTACATTAGTTCACACTAACTCAAAACACAACCATCTTAATACACTTTAAAGTGGATTACAGAACATGTATTAACTGGCCATTAATACGCTTTCAACTTCTGCATCTTATGGACACAGCTCAACTGAGTGTGCACTAACTAAAATGAATTAACAAGCAGCCTTGGCCAGGAGGGAAGGGTGGAAGATATAGTCTCCTGATTCTAAAACCTGTGCAAGTGGTCCAACAGCAGAAGAAATACAAGCAGTCTAGTTCAACTGTCAGTGTGAGGTCTCATTTCTCTCATGTGATTGGTTTATGTTGTGGATGCAGAGGATTTTGGATACTGCACAATTCTCTCTACTCATCCCCAGACAAGGGCTAATATTAGTGCCCTCTTTTGCCCCTCTCATCTGCTACTGACACAAGTGATCGCATCTGTTGGTTCTGGAAGGGATTTTTTGGTCTCAGGTCTCACAAGAGTGGGGCAGTTAGAGGCGGGGGGTCCCAGGAGGGGGTGGTCAGGGGACGAGAAAAAGAGGGCAGTTGGATAGGGGATGGGAGTCCCGGGAGAACTGTCAAGGGATGGGGGTGTGGATAGGGGTCGGGGCAGTCAGGGGACAGGGAACGGGGGGAGTTGGATGGGTTGGGGGTTCTGAGAGGGGCAGTCAG